GAAAGCTGCCTTTCCCCTGGGAAGGGTGAAGGAGGGTTGGGTGTCATCCTCTTCGTCAGGGTGGTGGATTCTGTCGGAGAAGCTGTCCTGGGAATGACTTACTGTAACTCGCCTGGGCTGAATCACTGCCTGGGCTTGCTATGGAGACAGGATTGCTTCCAAGGAGCCACCCAGCCTGGAGCAGGGACATTTCCAGGACACTGCAGGCATGTTCCTGGAGTCAGAGGTGCAAGCAGGACTGAGGAGAAGGAGAGAGGGAAGCATTGCTTGCTTAGGAACCAGCAAATATCCTTTTGCTCCCTGTCCGTGCTGAGACAAGTGTGGGAAATCCCCATCCAACCTGCAGGAAAGGTGATATCATGGGAAGGAGCAGGAAAGGTAATACCATGGGAAGGTGCAGGAAACAGTCCTGCACTGTTTCCATACAGGGACAGCCTCTCCTCCTGCAGCACCTGCCTGGAATTGTGATAAATCCATACAATCCCCCAGGTCTAAGCATGTACAGGTAGTAGGGATCAATGTTTGCTTGGGAACCTCCTCTCTTCCCATCCCTGGTAGGTGAAATCACAGCAGGAGAGAGCATGTGGTGACTGCACCAGCTGCTCAGGGATGGCTCCTCATGGGAGAGAGAAATGTGGGCAACTCACCCCCACTGGAAATAGGCACAGGCAGAAAAAGCACCAGAAATTAAAACCCAAACCAGATAATTAAAAATGGAACGACAAACTCCCCAAAAAACATTTACCCAGGCCATACAAACAAGATGTAGCTAACACTCCTGGATCTCTCCATGGCTGGATCTTGGCTTTGTCTCCATTCCTGCCCCTCTCATGCTCTCAGGGTTCAAACAGACTCAGCAACACTCCTAGCCCCTCCTCCATATCACCCCAGTGCTGGATAACCCCCCGGATAAGGGCGTCGACGTCCCTCATCAACAAACCATGACAGACAGTGGAAAGTTTTATACCATATTCCTTTTTGTAACCCAAGTATCCTTGTCCGTGAGTTCTCAAGTCACTTCCTGGCTGCAGACATGATTCTCAGCTCGAGTGAAGCAACTTTAGGGAATGATGTTGGAGAGGAGGTGCTGATGCTCAGCGCTGGCTCCGTGGGCAGAGGAACCTCTGAGCTGCCACAGCTTCGCTTTGGAAAATGCACAAACTCCTTCAGCTTTCTAAAATAAGTTGCTCACAAAGAAATTTTAGACCCTCCTGGGAAGAAAATTAAAAAATCCTGAACAAATCATTTCCAAGAGGAAGTCCAGTGTCCAGAAAAACCCCAGCCCTAAGGATGCCTTGTTTCCTGCTGCTGGCGATGCAAGGGGTTGAGGTTTGAGAAAAGAGAAGAGGTAAAAAAGCAGAACTGGGATATTTTCTGCCTCTGGAATGCTGCTGAGGTTTGTGTCTGACACATCCATGTGTTTTCCATCTCTGTGGAGCAAGAAAGGTTTTAGTCTTAACTGTCCTCTTGGGTTTTCAGTCCTGATTTATCACTGATTCAAATGGGCAGTGGCTGGTGCTGTCTGTGGATTTAAGGCAAAGATAGTCATGGATTGCTTTTCCAAGTGAAGCCTAGGAATAACAGGAAGGAAAATATTAGCAGGAATTAATTTAAAGCAAGGCTCAGGGATGGATCAAGAGCAGTTTCTTCCTCGTGAACTCTCAGTATCACAGCATGTGAACTCATATTAGTGGTACTGATCCCTGGAGCATCCCTGCAAGGTAAGGACATACTTCCACTGTTCCCAGTGAAAACATGGGCTGGGCAAGATTAAGATCCATACCTTTGGCATGACGCTTATGTGCCACAGGGGCTGCTTGGAATGCCAACAGGCCAGGCAAGGTTCGGCCAAGATTGGGGTTCAGGTTGCAAATTCCACATCACTAACCAGAGGGAAAACCTTTGGATCCAGGCTCCAGGCTGACTTGCTTTGCCTTCTTGCTTCATTTTCTCTTTTGCAAAGCAACTAAGGTAATTTTTTTGCAGATATTATGGTGATTTCTTATCATTTGTGTTGCTCAAATGTGTTCCTTTAGATGGAAGTGTGAAAATGCTTCAGGTTCACAGGATGATTAAAGCTTTGCATGAGCAAATGTGCCTCATAAATAAGATGCCTATCTTGAGCTGGAAGATTAAACTCAATCGTGATCCCCCCAAATCAATCAAGGTGCTCTCTGCAGCTGTAATAGTGTCAAGGAATTATATTTAAATCAAGAGTTGCACACAAGAAAAAAAAATTACATCTTTTAACTCTTTGAAGCAGAACTAATGGTTTCTGCCCTTCTTTAGTAAAGTTTTGTGGCATCTTTAAAGCTCTGCATGGGAGGAATTTGGCTTTAATTTTTTTGGCTGGTAGACACCAGGAATTCCAGGTGTCCATGGAAAACCAGCTCTTTTGATGCAGGTAATTCACAGCAGGTAAAAAATGTGTAAATACGAAGTGTGATGGATTATATTAATTCAAGGTCTTTCCAGGGTCAGTGCAGAGCAAAAATACACTATTTAATCATCTGAGCAGCCTTGGATTGATCTGGGTACACAAGTGACCCTGGTCTGGGCATTGCACCTTCATCAGCACTGTGAGGCTGCACAGCGACACCTTGATGTCAGCATTGGTCAGAGAGACAGACTGACAGACAGACAGACTGACACTTTCAAAAGGCTCAGAACAACAGGAGGGTTTGAATTTGATGCAAACCCCCTGGATTTTCCCTTAGAATGGTTTGGGTTGGCAGGGACCTTGAAGATTATCTTGTTCCAACCTCCTGCCATGGGCAGAGACACCTCCCACTAGCCCATGTTACTCCAAGCCCCATCCAACCTGGCCTTGAACACTTCCAGGGATGGGACAGCCACAGCTGGGAGAAAAAAAGGGAAAGAAAGAGCAATCAGTCTATTTTAAAGCTTAGTTAAAGGATGGTTTCAGTCAAAGAAACCTTTCATTATGTTTAATCATCTCTCCAGCAATAACATCACTTGTAAAGTTATGATGAACACAAGCACCAGGCACCCTGGGCACCAAAATTCCCTGAAATTAGCTGCCAGGGTTTCCTACTCAGTAGGAAAATCAAGACTTCTGAATCAAGCCAGGCTGTGATTTCCTTGTTCTCCCTCCTGTGCAGGGCTAGGAGTTGGGCTTCCATGATCCTTGGGTGTCCCTTCCAACTCAGGATATTCTATGATACCATGATCATTTATGCTTCCAGTTTAAATCTGTTGTTTTCAGGATGCTCCATCCATCTCCAAAGAGGTGTTGAGAGGGGTGTCCAAGGAGGAACACACTCAGTTTTGCACCCTTGGGGCACTCAATGTTGTGCTAATGCATCATTTCAGGCACTAACAAGTGTGTCAGACCATGAGGGGAAGGAGAATGGATGAGGAGGATGGATGTCCCTCCCATGTGGGCATTTGAGTGACGTGCAGGACAACCAGTCTTCAAGTGAGTTGTGAGCAAATCCCAGTTGGTTTGCTGTCTCCTGAAGAAGTCAAATTTATTATCAAAATATTTGACAAAATAAGGTTACAATAATTGTCTTTCAGGGACAAAAGAAATGGCTAAAAACAACCTCCTTCATTACCCCACAGACCCTAAATTCTGAGCTTCATCCTTTTTGTATCTCTTTTATTTAAGGTGTCAGATTTGACTTCACCCCTCAAGAGTTGTATTTGCTTCTCCTCTGAAATTTGGATCAAATCATTCTTTCCTCCAGATTGACATGATCTGGTTACAAGGAAATTCTTACCAGGTTTGTTTCCTTTCCTGTTCCATATTTTATTTCTCTGGTTTGAAGTTTTCCTTCCTTTAATTTCTGTTTCTGTCCTGGATGTCTTTCAAACATAATCCCATGCTGCTGAATTTATCCCTGGAAGTGTTCAAGGCCAGGTTGGATGGGGTTTGGAGCAACCTGGGCTAGTGGAAGATGTCCCTGCCCATGGCAGGAGGTTGGAACAAGATGAGCTTTAAGGTCCTTCCAACCCAAACCATTTTATGAGCCATTGGTTTTACTTGCAGTCCTCTTGGACTCCTTTTTCTCCATCTCTTTCCTATTTTGCTTCTCCTGTCCTTGTCTGTTATGAGCACTCTGTAAACCCAAAATTCTATTTATTCACATACATCATTAAGTTTTCACCTAACCACAAGATATTGCAACCAAATACTTGTTTCCTGCCACCACAGTGAAAGAATTTCACCAAATTTTAAAGGCAAATGTGATGTGGGGGTATCAGCTCTAGGCTGCTCTGAATTGACTGAATTGTTGCATCATTCCTTTCTGGGATTTGGGGGTTTTTTTTGCCAAATGCAATTTCTAGCCAATAACTTCAGAAATTGCTCTTCATGAATCATGCAAGTGGCCACCATTCCTTTACTGGGCACTTGGGTTCCTGTAATGTAACATATGCACAACCTGAACACTGATTTTTCACCCAGTCTGATTTTTTTTCTCCCCTCAGTCACTTCTAAAAATAGCAAAGTCCTTCATCTTGGGGAAAATAATGGCCTACAAAAATGGAAAGTAATTTCTTCATATTTATGAGCCCTTTTCCTTTCCTATTACGAACACCGCTCTGATGAATGCTCTTTCTCCTTCATGAAGGTACTAGGAGAAATTACATCCTCTGGCTTTAATGTTCTGATAATGTAATCAAATACCCTGGACTTTATCCCCAGGTTATAGATTGCCCACACTGCTGGGCAAGGTTTATAGCTTTTATCCCAAAGAGGAAGCCCTGACTGCCTGAGGTTCTGAGAGAACACAGTATCCCAGAATCATTGTGGTTGGAAAAGACCTTCAAGACCATCGAGTCCAACCTGTGACCAATCACCACATTGTCAGCTACACCAGAGCACTGAGTACCATGTCCAGTTGTTCCCTGAATGCCTCCAGGGATGGTGACTCCACCACCTCCCGGGGAATCCCCTGCCAAAGCCTGACAACCCTTTCCATGAAGAAATTCCTCCTGATGTCCAACCTGAATATCCCATGGTGTAGCTTGAGGCTATGTCCTCTTGTCCTGTCACTCATTCCCTGGAAGAAGAGCCCAAGCCTCACCTGGCTGCAACCTCCTGTCAGGTAGTTGTAGAGAGCAAGGAGATCTCCCCTGAGGCTTCTTTTCTCCAGGCTGAGACACAAGGTCTTCTCCTCTAGACCATTCTGTATATGCCCAAACTTATATCTCTGTACAGGATACCCCATTGTGCAGACCCCAAATTCTCTCTGCAGTGCAAAGATTCTGCTCTGGTCACATACAGGATGGTTAGTTCTTCCTTTCTCTCTGTTTAAACTTGCACTGCATTTTCATTCCTGGTTGGCAGTACAAAGTTGGCTTAAGAATTGAATGGAAATGAAAAAGGACTTAATGAAAATGGAATTCAAGCCCTGAATGCTGATAGAAAAGGAGTATTGATCCCTTCTCAGGCTGGTATTGGAATGAGTCACAATTATGAATAGGAAAATATTTCAAGTTGTGATGGATTTGGTGAAAGAACTTTCACTGCTTTCAGAGGAAAAGTTCTTATATTGCTGCTAATCAGTATCCATTAAGTTTCCAGCGAGCTGCATTGCACCAGGTAATAAAAGGTGTGAATGACAGTTCTATTGGGGCAGGTAAGAAGGAGAAGAAAACATCTCCCAAGAATGCTGGTACAATCCAAGTCCTTTGCCTATACTCACAGATTTATTTCCTCATACTTTCCTAACTGGCTCATTTTGTTCCCAGTGAAGCCTTTGAGCAGCTACAAGGCAGGATGCCCTCCCTTCCTCCCTCTCTCCCTCCCTCCTTTCCTTCCTCTCTCCTTCCCTTCTTCTCTCTGTCTGCAATTAAGACCTATGTGTCCATTGAGCAATTTCTGAAATCCAGGACACCCATTACCCCCTTTCCCACCTATTTCAGGAATTAAATCTGGTAGAAAAGGAGCTGTAAAAGCTGTTCCCAGCCTGAGGTCAATCTGAGTCCATCTCACTGATTGGACTTTGGAGAAGGTTCAAAAATGCATCGATCCAAAAAATCTGTCTTGTATGAAGCACCAGTGCAATCAGTAGAATGACACTAATTACACATGGAATGAGGAGGCAGTTGCCTATCTCCAGCTCCAATCCCTCCTTGTTCCTACATATCGATAGGGAGCCAGAGAAAATTCCTCTTCTTTGTACCACCTGAGATATTTTCTCTCTGTGTTTCACCCAGAGTCTCTGGAGCTCAATGGTAGCAGATGAAAATGTAATAGAGGACCTCAAAACCTGATGTTTGTGCAGAGCAAATCCCAGTTTGGTTTGTTTGTTGCAGCTCTTTGGTTTTCCGTTATTGGAAAATAAAACTGAAAAGTACACACAGAAATTCTGCTGGGAAGAGCATGTGGGAGTGGTCAAAACCACAAGTCATCTTGGTCAGAGGTTACTAGCAAGAGGCTGTGAGAGAATATCTAAGGAGAGAAATGCTTTTGATTTCTTTTTATTTTATTCAGATTTTTCCTCTGAAAGATCAGGTTTAGATTCTTTATTTCAATAAGATTTCGTTTTCTGCAAGTGATTTTGAATTTTTCAGGATGCCAATACAGCAAACAAAACAACAGGGCAATACTTTGTGTCTTTTACCCAGAACCTTTTGTTCTGAGTGAGGAGCAGCCAAGCAGTGAGTGTGCCTCGAGCAGAGCTTGCTACAACACCTCTGAGCATCAGTCTCAGCTTCTCATCTCAGCAGCTTTTGTTTGGCTTGGGGTTTTTTTTTCCTTCTTTTATTTACCCAGTGCCTCTTGTCAGCCAGTTCAACTGCAGGTAATGAGGTACAGGGATTGCCTTTTCCACTGCTCATAAACAGCACATGGTCAGGCACATTCCTACCTGGAGTCTCCCGGTGCTACTACAAGAGCAGTTAATGATTAATCCCCAGAAATGCACCTTGAGGTAACACTAACAGATGGTTTATGCAAAGCTCTGTTTTGAATCAGTGGTAATAATTCCTGTCCCTTTTCCCCCTCCAGCTGGCCCTGCTGAAGATGAGCACCGTGTTCCTCCTGCTCCTGGTGTCCGTGGGGAAGGTTGGAGCTGAGCTGGAGAAAGGAGTGCCCAGGCGGGCGCCGCGGCGCCTGTCGTGCGTGCGATGCTGTGGCCCTTCGGAGCAGCCTGTGTCCATCATCTCCTCACGGCACAGCAGGATGAGCAGTGACCCTGCCTATTCGGTGCCCAAGGTTCAGCCCACTATAGATATCACCATCCTCAAAGGTGACTCCCACCATAACACTCTTTTTCTTCTTTGCTTACCCTTGTTCCTTCCTACACCAACAACTCATCCACTCGGTTTGTCTCAAACAAGGCCGAGGGGTGACATGGCACAGGCTAGAAGTGTCTGAGTGAGAAGAGTTGACCAAAGGGTCTAATCCATCAAAACTCCAAATCACTGGAAGCTCAAGTTAGGTTACACAAAAAAACCAGACTCAAATGTTCATAGAATCACTGAATCATCAAGGTTGGAGGAGACCTCTAAGATCATCAAGTCCAACCATTAACCTATAGCTCTGCTGCAGCCCCTAAACCATCATCTTCAAGTGCCAGATCCAGACACGACCAAAGGGTCTAATCCATCAAAACTCCAAATCACTGGAAGCTCAAGTTAGGTTACACAAAAAAACCAGACTCAAATGTTCATAGAATCACTGAATCATCAAGGTTGGAGGAGACCTCTAAGATCATCAAGTCCAACCATTAACCTATAGCTCTGCTGCAGCCCCTAAACCATCATCTTCAAGTGCCAGATCCAGACACCCTTCCAAGGAAAGGATGGTGACTCCAGCGGGCGCCGCGGCCCCTGTCGTGCGTGCGATGCTGTGGCCCTTCGGAGCAGCCTGTGTCCATCATCTCCTCACGGCACAGCAGGATGAGCAGTGACCCTGCCTATTCGGTGCCCAAGGTTCAGCCCACTATAGATATCACCATCCTCAAAGGTGACTCCCACCATAACACTCTTTTTCTTCTTTGCTTACCCTTGTTCCTTCCTACACCAACAACTCATCCACTCGGTTTGTCTCAAACAAGGCCGAGGGGTGACATGGCACAGGCTAGAAGTGTCTGAGTGAGAAGAGTTGACCAAAGGGTCTAATCCATCAAAACTCCAAATCACTGGAAGCTCAAGTTAGGTTACACAAAAAAACCAGACTCAAATGTTCATAGAATCACTGAATCATCAAGGTTGGAGGAGACCTCTAAGATCATCAAGTCCAACCATTAACCTATAGCTCTGCTGCAGCCCCTAAACCATCATCTTCAAGTGCCAGATCCAGACACCAAACACTTCCAAGGATGGTGACTCCACCACCTCCCTGGGCAATCTATTCCAATACCTGGCTACCCTAACAGTGACAAAACTTTTCCTAACATCCAATCTGAATCTCCCCTGTCTCAGCTTATGACCATTCCCTCTAGTCCTTACTGTGATGTTATCACAGAATTCCTAAGTGGTTTAAAAACTGGGAAAGACCCTCTTTCCATGGCACATTTTTGGTCTCACTCAGGCAGGCAAATAAAAATGGAGCAGAAAATGCAGGAGATGTTCCAGGAGTTCTGTGCTCAGAGATGCACAGATGAAACAAACCCAACCATCTCTCCTAGGCCCAGATCAGACCTCAGCAAACTTCAAAACCTCTTATCCTCACCTCTGCACCAAGGAGGGGAGTTCATCAACACTATGGTTGTGTTTGTCTGATCAGGGCATGGAATTCCACTGTGGGATGTGGAACATCAGCACCATGAGCTCTGTGGAGCCAAGTTTTCACCTGGCTTTATCCAGAATTGGGAAGGTGCTGATGATCTGGCCAATGCTTCCAGATATTTGTGCTGGAAAAACAGTGCTCCAGCAGCTACTTTGCTGGTTGTCTCCATCAGGATGTGCCCACAGCTTGGGCTTGATGTGCTTGTGTTTGACAAGGTTTTTCTTTATGCTCACAGGTGAGAAGGGTGAAATGGGGGAGAAAGGCTACCCTGGAGCAGTTGGGAAGGCAGGAGAAAGAGGCCTACGTGGCTTGGATGGAAGGAAGGGACAGAAAGGCCAGCCTGGCCCACAAGGCCACTCTTGCAAGCACCTCTATGCTGCCTTCTCGGTGGGTCGGAGAAAACCTCTTCACAGCTCAGACTACTTCCAGCATGTCACGTTTGACACTGAGTTTGTGAACCTCTATAAGCACTTCAACATGTTCTCGGGCAAGTTCTTCTGCTACGTTCCAGGAATCTACTACTTCAGCCTGAATGTCCACACCTGGAACTTCAAGGAGACCTACCTGCACTTGATGAAGAACGAGGAGGAGGTGGCCATCCTCTACACCCAGCCCAGCGATCGGAGCATCATGCAGAGCCAGAGCCTGATGCTGGAGCTGCAGGAAGGAGAGGAGGTCTGGGTGAGGATGTTCAAGAGGGAGAGAGAAAATGCCATTTACAGTGAGGAGTCTGATGTTTACATCATCTTCAATGGCCACTTAATCAAGCCAGCTGTAGAGTAGCCACTCCCCAGCTCTAGGCTCAAAGCTTTGGTAGATACATTAGTGTCTTCCCTCTTAGAAATGCATATCTCTAGTTCCACCTGGAAGGGTTCCAGGCCTGTAAGGGTTGTCTGTCCATGTCCAGACACCTGTGTGGATGGAGGTGACTGTTTCAAGGTGATACAAGCTGCATGACTACCAAGAAGGCTTTGACCCTTATGTTCCCTGGAGAAGACACATGTGGAATGCTCCAGTTCTGCAGCTCCATATCAATCCCAAGTAACATCCCTAAAGTTTGACGAATTGGTAGCAAAAATTTAGCTTCTTTGCTCTGCTCTTGAGAAGAAATGTAATTATATCTAAGGACCATAGAGGTTATCTGGGTGCTAATTAAGGAATGGCATTTTTCTTCTAATAAGATTTAAGTCTTTTGTACATCAATATTATTAATCAGAGCCCACACTCCCCAGCACCTGCACCAGGGCTGCTCCACTCAGGTAGGCAAGAACATACCAGAGTTAAGACCAATATTTTCCACAGTACATTAACCCTAAATTATATGTTCATGTTCATGTAATATTCTATTCTGAGAGCATAATTCTGGAATGAGGTAAATAACTGCATCCAAATCTTTTCATAGACATAGAGTTGTAACTACAGACACATGCTCTAACTTCACCAGACCTCTGCATTGCTACCAATACTCCTTGTAAGAACATTCAACATGGCTGGGAATGTGCATTTCCCATTTTAAGAAAATGCTGGGACACTTGGAATTTGCTAAGCTGGAATTTCAGGTCATACTCATGCCTGGAAATGACCATGGTTATAGCAACATCTGTTCTGGCAAGTGGAGAAAACTGGAAAGAAAAAAGCAATAAATGATATTTTAGGGGATTTGGTTTCTCTTTTCCTACAAAATTATTGATATAGCAGTGGAAAGGTACATGCAGCAACAAGAAACATCCTTTCCCCCTATTCCTCCTTGCCCATTCCCCCAGTCTCTTCTTTGCATCCCAAGGTATTTGTATGGATACAGGAAGAGTTCTTGCCAGGCAAACTGCTTCACTACTGTACCTCTCCTGTCCACAGCTGTTGGAAAAGTAGCTGAAATAAAGCTATTGCTTTGAGTACTTGGGTTTGTTTATCTTCTCTCCATAAGCTTTTTCACAGTATGCGACTAAAAGCACCAGAGTGAACATGGAACAATCTCTGGGGGCAATTTTAGTTATCACCAAAGGACTCCAGAAACTAAGCTGATGTCAACTTCACTCCTTGCAGGCCAAGAAATAGCCATCAGCAAGTGTCAGGCTGAGAAGACAGAGAAATTAATCACCTTTTCTGTAAAATACATACCAAATTTTTAAGATATCACAATCTTCCTGAAGATAGGGACTTCAAAGTAACATAACTGCAAAGGAAATTCAGGGTGAAAATGGGTTTCAAGTCTTGAAACTCATTTCTGCTCCTGCTTCCATCACTCTGCAACCTGGAAAGGAAATGTGGGAAACTTGCAGAACTTCTAAAACCACATTTGAGAGCTCAAAATCTTTTCCCCCTATTTTTCCTATTTCTAAATCCTCCCTCTCCCATTCCTAGATTTGCAGCTGAATTCCCAGTGTGGGTACAGAGTGCTGCTGGGGGAGCCTAGCAGGAGATGCCTGTGGTGGAACAGGGATCATTCACAGGCTGATGTGGTCTCAGGGCTGTCTGACATTCCTCATTCCTTCCAGATCCAGCAGTTTCCCTGCAGTTTTGGCTCCCTCCCATCTCCATTGACTATAATTAAAAAGGAAAAAACCTGATCCAGCTGGAATTATTGACAGGGCTTAACCCAGCACTGGAAAACACACCCAGAATGTGCTTAAGTTCAGCCCACATTGATCATGGAAATGCTGCTTTCTCCTAGAAGCAAGCAAAAATCCATCATCTCTATCCCTATATATACACATATCTCCTTAATGTTTAGACACACAATGAGAGATATTTGGATTACTGAAGCAATAAGACACATCCAAAACACTCATGACTGATGTGCCAGTGCCATAAGGAGGTAAATCATCAAAGCCACATTGGTGTCAGGTGCAGAACTGACCTTTCAAATAATCAGAAAGGTCCTTGGGTTATATACATTATTTAAATGAGTCATTTCTAGCATTAGAAAACTAGAACACAAATATTTGAGATCTGCTCAGCCACACACAGGCATCCTGCCAGGCTCTTTTCTTATAGGAACAGAGTTTAAATCCCCTTTTTTGCCAACAATATGTAGCTTGGAAACTGAACTTTGAAAAAGCTTCGTAAGTTCTTTTTTTCGAAGAGAAGAAAGTGAAGGGTTTAAATGTTCCAATCTAAATGCAAAGGAAACAACTTAATTTCTATTTATTTTTCCAAGTGTTTCCCTAAATTGGCATTTTGTATTTCATGCTTTGAAGTTAGCCATCAGGGATCTGTCAGAAGCTTTTCCCCCAATCCTTCAGTGAACAGTGTTACACAGAAATGACAAAACAGCCTCAGCTGCCAGAAATCCCATGTGCCTTTGATTAAGAAACAGAAGATCTCTGGTCCTTCTCATTACAGAATCCTCCTGGAAGATGAAGTCCCTGTGGAACAAGGCACCAATAAACCAATTTCCAGATTGGTTTCATTGCCAGAATAACTTCACCTGTCTTTGGGGCAGGGCCAGAAATTAAGGAGGTGGAGAAACCTGGTGAGACCATACACAGGGAGATGGAAGTAGAGAACAAGAGACTTTTATACAACAGAAATCATGGGAAACATCAGGTGAAAAACATCTACCTCTCAGAATCTCTTGTGGAAGATGAAATGGGTTTTAAGACTTTAACCTTTCATTTTCTGACTGCAACTCTGTACAAGGTTTACACTTACAGCCCAAACTTAGGCAATAGGGAGGAGAGAAACTCATTTAACCTCCTCTCCTTCATCTCTTTGGCATGAGAACCCCAGAAGATTCCCTCACAAGGAGAGATGTGCTGGGACAGGTTCCAAAGAGGGGATGAATTGAAGAGAGCAAATAAATGACCATCCCAGGAAACCCTCAGTGGCATCCTAGGATCTGTCAGAAATGGTAAGGGAAGCTTTCTTAGCCCAGAGTATAACACACTGCACTCTGTCCCTTGAACCTTCCTTTCCTGTAGCCCTAAGTTTCAGCCTGGAAAAGCCACAGGAAGCAATTCCCATTGAAAATGCCCCTCTGAAGGAGCTGAGCCAGACCATGACTTTAAACATGCTGCAGTTTCCAGTATCACAACCCCACACCTGAGAAATCCAAGAGCACAGCTCAGCACTCACTGGGGATCTGTCTGCCCCAGGGAATCCTTTCCTTGAATCTGTCTGAAGATTTCCAAATATCCTCATTCATTTTCCTTCCCTACATGACTGCACTAAATGAAGCATTGCATTATGACCTGCAGGATTTCTGCAGAGCCCTCACTTAGCCACATAATTGCTTTATAATTTGGGTTTGCTCGTTTTCTCTGTTCTTGTAAGATATGAAAACAATTCTTTGTGCTTTCAGGCTTAACCCAAACCCATCACTTCTCTGAGTTCAAATGCAGCAGCATCTGACTTTTAAACAAGTCTGACCTTTTTCTCCCTAAAAACTTCACAATAGCACAGATTTTTTTCTTTCCATTTTCTTCTCCTGAAGCAAAATTTGGGGATGGTGCTTGAGCTTCTCTTCTGTGCTGAAGCAGCAAATTCCTTGGTCTGCCTGACCAAGCTGAGGGAATGTAAAACACAGCAAGAAGGGCTGTGGGTTCTTCTGGGCCGTCATGTAGGTTAGATGGGGAAAAATTCTAGATGAGAATTTAGTAGATGAGTATTTAATAGAGGATAAGAGCAGACAGTAGGTTTCACAGTGCACCGAGTACATGTCATGAGCTACAGGAGTGTTGAGTGAGAATATGTTGTCACTGGGACCTTCTTGTAAGCTAAGATCTGATCTTTAAGGACCTTTCCATTCTATGATTCTATGACCCTTTTAAGGTCCTATTCCTGATCCTGAAACTCCTCCACAGATGTAGCCAAGACCTTGTTCTTAAAGAATTTCATGCCTCTTTGTGCAGACTTTGAACAGTGCTGTAAAGACTCAGAAATCCTCTCTGGAAAGAGGTGTGAAAGGGCTCATAGTCTTGGCTGTGACAAACACCCAGAGCCCAAGTTAATAGCTCTTACAGTGCTATTAGAGCTCATTACACCTGGCAGAGCTGGTGCTTAGTGCTCTGGATGCCAAATGGCATCAAGGAAGCTGAAAGTTCTGTGTGTTCCCCTTTTTCTCTCCTAATTATCCCACTCCTGCATAGTTGCTTCTGGTCAGACCCTGTTGCTCTGTGCTGTCAATCTTGTCTAAGTTGATTAAACTTCTGAACTTGTTCATTAACTCTCTGAGACTGTTCTGGTGAGCAAAAGTCATTTCCTTTAAGAGAGCCCTTACAGCACTTTCTAAATCTGAATAAATAGAACAGCAGGTGAGGATTAGGTCTTCATCTTGCTGTAGCTTTAGCAGTGAATCATTTGAAGCACAGTTAATTGCCTTGCTTGCACCCCTGTGATGGCTATGAGTAGTCAAAGCCAGGTGAGAAGAGCACCTGGGAGAACTGACACTGTCACCTGAGCTAATCACTGAAAAAAATGGTTTTCACCTGCTCACCATGTGCTTCTGCTGTCCTGAAGAGAGGATGTCCAGGGGAGGCCATGAAGTTGCTAAGAGGACTAGAACAATTCCCCTCAGACAGGTTGAGAGTGTTGGGGCTATTCAGCCTGGAGAAGAGAAGGTTGTGTGGAGACCTCACAGCAAGAAGGGCCTACAGGGAAGATGGAGAGAGACTCTGCATCAGGAACTGCAGTGACAGGACAAGGGGAAGTAGGTTCAAATTGAAAAAGGCGAAAATTAGGTTAGACATCCAGAAGAAATTCTTCCCTGTGAGGGTGGTGAGGAACTGGCACAGGTTTCCCAGAGAAGCTGTGGCTGCTCCATCCCTGGAAGTGTTCAACGCCAG